TCTTATTCTGAATGAATTTTAGATGTGCTAAGCTGTTGTCATAAGTCGATAGTAATGACAGATACTGAAAAAAATGAAAAGTGTACACAATGTGGATTTATTGTGTATGAATGTGAAAGAATTGATTGTTTTAACAAAGTAAGTCTATGTAATGTGCGGGCATTCAAAAATGAAGCAGGATCTGATTTTTCGATTTTTTTATCATAGTTGTATAGAGTGCATCGAGTTACATAGAGAAAAACTAATTTTCATACTGTTAGAACGGATTTTTTGATTAGGAAAACTTCAAATACTGATTTCCAGAATTAAGTGAAAGTGAGCAACGTTTTGAGTGACTTTAAATTTTGAGTAAAAGTTTTGGTTTAGATTTTTGAAAAAGTCGAATAACTTTTGAAGTCGCTCGAAATGTCTGAAACCTATCTCGACTCAGTTTTTAACGCTGATCACGAATATAACCTTGCTTTTGTCAAAAAGTTGGAATTTGATGAAGAAAATAGCAAAATATGACTCCAGTTTTATGGTTTGTGCGATTTAGTTAAAATTGAATTCTCATCAACAAAGTAAAATATTCCAAAACTGATACATACTTTTTTCTTACATGTATATGGGTTAGAATGACGCAAACTAAATATTTTAAACAAAACGTAGAGTTCTGACTTACACTGTCTTCTAGCCTGATCCAAGTTGTATTTGTGCTGACATTTTCGCCCCTCTAAGTCAAGCGGTTAGAATATAATACACTCAAGATTAAAAGCTAATTGATCCTAATTTACCACTAAAAAAAATGGCAATTTTTCTTAAAACTTGAACATCTCAATAACTACTTGGGCTGTAGAACTGTGATTTGCGGTAAAAAACTTACTACATTGCGAGCACTATCAACATCACTGATAAATGAATCATCACCATTGCTGATGATTGTTCCATTTCAATCAGTGATTATATTTGATAATTCACTATTTGTTCCGGCTGACAACTGTTTACTAGTGTTCGTTAAATTATCATTCATAATAATATATAATAGAATTTCAATAACAGAATAAGTGTTGTGATATTTACTTTTAAAGAAACGTCTATTAAAGTTTTTCACAACTCTTTTGATCCAGCCTAAATTCCTCACATTCTCGGATAGAAGAAAGAATCAACTTCTAAACTAAGATTGGCTTGAAACTTTCAGGTGAATCTAAGACTGAACTAGGCGAATGTAGGACTAAAATATTAGTTAAAACAATCGTGCACTGGGCTTAAGACGGAAGCCTGATTTATAAAAGATTGCAGAAGCTTTTAGTTAATTTTGCTCTTTTTCTCATTAATCTTTGTTTTTAACCATCTTCAGCTATAACTGAGTTTTCACCATCAATCGATATGATTTGTCCTTGATAAACGCCCAATTGCTGTCCACAATCAATACTTACTGTCCAATTAATAAAGTTAGCCATAAGAACAGAAGAAGTAATTTTTATATAAAAATAAGATTAATATTTATACGAAAATAAAATAAATTAACCAATCTGCTGAAAATAGCCATGGATCTAGAATAACAACTAATCATTCAATTTTAAGAGATAATTCTTTAGATTATTTTTCGTACCATAAATTGTTTGAAAGTAAAATGGTAAAGAATCTGTAGAAATTTTAAAAACTTCATTATTAGTTATCTCTCAAAACATATCAGCCCTTTTACGACAAGAATGAAATGTTGTAGAACACCGTAGTGGATCTTTAAAATAGAAACGGTTTAGAAATACAGTGTACATTATCAATGTAAATGGATGCAATGACATTTAGGAAAATATTTTTGTTTCCGGAGTAAATCGGATCTAATACATAATCTATTATTTGTGATTGATTACATTATCCCCGCAATTATTTTCCAGTTATCCAATCTACTTAATATATCTTTCTATAGAGAATTTCGCTGGCTACAAAATCCTATATAAAATATTCCGAACGAAATCGGAATGAGTACTCTAACATCAAAGTTGCTCTTGAGCATCTCAGCAAACCGCTAGGCCAACATCGTTCATCTATTATAAATTTCACATGTTTTCACGTCAATCACTCTGTTATAAGCCGTTCGATAGAGAATTTCGCGGGCCGCAAAAGCCTATAGAAGATATTTTTTTAATTTTCCTCAAACATAGGCAAAAATGGGTTATTTCACCTAATATAGATTTTTACTAAGTTTTTGCAAGTGTTTTCAAAAACAAATATTGCCACGAGATTCAGCGTGGTCAATTACCCCTGTTTCCATGTATTTTTGTATTTTCCATTTATTTATGTTTTGTATAGAATTTATATATATATAGGTCCCTAATGAGAATGTTGTGAAATTTGCATCTCGTTTAATAAAACACGTACAAGTCTGGAAGACGTCTCATTTTGATCAGAATTGTACGGGCTACAACCTGGAGAGGACGAAACAGTGTTTCAAGGAGGTCTTCGCGGCGGTCTGGGATTTTCTGAAAAACCGGTTTTTGAGAAATATTCTAGGAAAAAGAATATGTCAGAAACCAAAGTCTGCTATCTAACACATCCGAGTGTGGCCTACATTTGATATGAAGCTTTAGCCATAAACATTTCCGCACAGAGAGAAAATCGGGTTATTGTGCTTCATGTTTAAACCAAGAATTCTATTTCGACAGAGTAGTTTTAAAATCTGTGAAGGGACGGAAAAGATAGCACCTGTTCTGAAGTATAACTTCATATTAAAAGATAGCTTTTAAAGTTGGTTTGTATAGGTGAAAAAAACTTAATTCTAAACGTAATGAGAATGATCGATCTGTGGTGCCATATCTTGCGTACTCTATACCTCGAGAACGAAGCAGTTTTAAGTGACGCTATTTATACCATTATCTACTTACATATATACAACTAGTATGAATGCCATTTAAATCTGTGACGTCAACAACCCCTGCCTATGAGTAACTGCTTGCTTCTCTCAGATAATGACTCTAAACTCGAGTAAAAAAATGGCTTAAACCCGAATATTCTCAGCTTATATCCAGCTCAGCGAATTCCTAGACGGAAACTATTCATAAATCACTCAGTCATGCTGTAGAGCAAGTTTAGTCGTTGTCGAAATATAGATTTTCCAAAATCCTCTGATTTTCACTTATTTTGGGGGTTTTCCAGCTTTCAATCATTTTTCCCATAAGATCACTGACATATTTGGAATCAGCTCGTATAGATAATCATGGTTACTGAAAAAGTTTTGAACCAAAAAAATATTACTTTAAACCATTTTTCTAAAAACATTTTTGTCAAAACTGTCAGTTTAAAACAACAACATCATAATTCAATCATCTTGCTTTCTTTACATTTGAATAAGAAATATTCACATTTACTCGTTTCTTTTCATCTTTCATATCAATAAAGTTAAGTTGACAGTGTTTACTCAGCCAGTATGACGTTGAAAATGACGTTTTTATATCCTGCTGACAACTATATTCAACATTTTTTACTAATAGTCTAAATTTTTGTAAATCTTGTAACAGTTGAGATAATAATTGTTGCCATTGTTCGCCGTCAACAAATTGTTCGTTATCTGTTGTTAATGAGAATTTATTCAAGTTTGGAAAACATTTAAATAAATATATAATATAATCAAAAGGTAATTTATTTTCGGGTGAGGATAGATTCAATGTACATAATGATGGCACAATAAGAATAGCAGATGAAATACGACTGGGTAATTCACAAAACGTTAGTGTAATGTGTTTAATATTTGGCAAATATACTAAAATTTTGAAAAGATCAGTAGCACAACATAGATGAAGTGTCAGTAATTGTAAACAATTAGATGATGTTCTTGATGATGACAATGTAAATCTATCATTGATAAAAACTAATTGTTTCTCATTCGTAGCCAATGTTAAATTATTTAAAAATGGTAAATGATATATCACAGATCGAAGAGTATTACTTATATCGATCGATGCCTGAGAACGATTATATATTGTTTGAATTACTAACGATTTTAGCTGCTTTGACGTTGACAAGTATTCAACGACATTAGTAATTGTTTTATCACAGAATACGCCTATTAATGTAAACGAATGAAGTCGAGAAAATTGATGTAAACGAAAACGTAACATAAATTGTTGAAGTTGATTATTTTCAGTGGTTAACTTTATTGCGACTAATTTTTTTGATATGACTGGTAGTACACTTTGACAATAATCAATAAATTTACCCAATGGAATATTTGTAAAATCGAAATGAAGTTGATATATTGTATCTATGAGACAATTGAGTCTAAAACTCCATCCATAAAATGCCATGTAAATATGAATACCATCCAAGTAATCAAAAATTTGATAGAGTAACTCTGATGCCAAATTTAAAATAGTAGAGGTAGTCATTCTATTAATGTTATCTGAAACTAATCCTTATAATTAGTGTGAATACTGTCACTTCTTGATAGATCTGCATCTAAATTGAGTACAGTATACCTGTTCTTTGGCACAACTCTATAAAATATTCTGAAAATCGCAAGTGAATTATTTTTTCATCAAGTCACATCTTTATCCATTTTATCTATAATATAATACCGACAATAAAAATTCTCACAAGCATAGTCAGTTTGAAAAATATATTTATTTATCCTTATTTTATTTAGAGTGATTATCTTGTTGATGCTATTGTAGTTAGATAAAAAGGAACTAAACTGTAAACTCGCGCCAGTTGGAGGCAGAGTTGGAACCGGTCTAAAACTAAGAGATCGGATCGGGCCGGCCGGTTCAAAACAACAGACTGAATCGATCCAAAAATCTTTTTAGACCAGTGAAAAACCGGTAGGTTTTCAAAAATTTCTTGACCGGTAAAAACCGGAAAAAATCCGACGGTTTTCAGAAATTTCCTAGACCGATGAAAAAGTCGCATGGTGAAAATCCGCAAAAAAAAGGCCGACTGAGAACTTTTAACAGTAAAACTAAATATCTTTAAGGAAAAAGTGGTCTTTACTAGCTTTTTTCTTGTTTTTTTATTTCTCTTAGTTGTTTGATCAAATTTCTTGTGAATGAAGACGAGAAAAATGCTAAAAATTCTAAAAACGGCAAAAAACCTGTCCACATCGGCCGATTTGAAAATTTTTCTAGATCGGCGGGGACCGACCGGCCTGCCGATCCGGTTCCAGCTCTGCTTGATGGTAAAAGACCTTTGCAATATGGACACTAGCGAGAAGTTTTCAGTACACATAAACAACTGAAACAGTTTTGCCAGAATCAAAATTGGTATTCTAAGACAATTGTTTTGGTTTTTCTCAAATATTACAAGAAATAATAATCTCTGGCTGCATAAGGAACAATACAGGTACAAAAGCGAATTCACTTCATTTTGAAAGTATGCTGCATTTGTTTTTTCCTTATATGTATGCTCACAAAATTGTTTATCCATCGTAGTTTTCAATTTTTCTTGTCGATCATAACAGCTAGAACAAATCTAAGAAATGAACTGAATAGCTGAAAGAGTGGTCAAACTAGTGTCGTGCTTATGAAGACTCAGAGATTAGAATTGCTTGTAATCGGGGTCTCTGAAAAGTCGGTAACTTGGAAAACGAAGTTCTCGAATTCGACTAAGAAACATTTTACAAAAATAACTCCATCGTATAAAGAAAACGTTTCTGAACAAAATGAGACGTCTCTCTCCTAACCTCGACATTTGTTTGTGAAACTACATTCAATTGACGAAACGCCTCGACAACACCTTGATGATTACTTGTTAATTTTGCCGACAGTTTAATGCGTTTCGTCAGTTGAACACGGGACATGGATCCAGGATATTAAAAAATGCGAGCAATCCTAAATAGGAAAAATCGAGAATTACATCGAGAAATAGCTGTGTATATGTTGAGACATTTTTAGACTTATAGGATAATTATTTAGCACAAGATCACAAAGTCTTATTTTGACAGAAAGTGAAGTTTAAGAAGTGTCCAAGAAAAACTAGTATTTAAGGATCTTGTTTTTCTAGGGTCATAGGATGCGCGCTCCAAATCATGAAAATCCCTTGAAGATGATACAGATACGCAGAATAGGGACGGACAGTGGACTATTTAATCATATGCTTATCTCAAAATCGAGATCATTGAGAAAAATTCTTCATTTTAACTCTTGATGAAATACAAAAAGGACAAAGCAATATGTAGTGTAATTATAAAAAAGATCGATCAATATCAAATAAACTGAAAACTGCTATTATTGCTATTGTCTCTATTTTTCAACTGAATCTGTAATCCATTTGAGATATGCAGGATTTCCTTGTAGGATGGGTAATTCAATGACTTCTGGTACCGAATAAGGATGATTTTGTTTTACATGTTCAATTAGTGCTGGTACTTTTGAATGTTGTGTTTTGATCATTAGAATTAATTCCGAATCTTCTTGAATCTTTGATTCCCAAACATAGATGGACTTTACTTGCGGCAAAATATTCACACAGGCGGCTAACTTTCCTTCAACAATAGAGTATGCCAGTTTCTTGCCAACATCTTCGTTTGGAACAGTGACAAAACAAGCAGAAAATTCAGTATTTGTTGACATTGCAGCGGAAGTGAACGTACTACGAATCTGTGGTAATAAAAATGAATAAAAACACCATAAACAAAATGATAAAATTAAACAAGCATTCAATGTCAAATTAGATATCATAAAATCTAAAAGTATGCTGTTTGAGAGTATTTATCGAATAAAATATGAACGCTGGTTTCTCTAGCCGGATTAAAAATGAATTTCTCTAATAGTCATACAAGGGCGACAGTACATGTTCCAAGATTTATCTGATTTTTGTAGTTGCAAAGCATGATGATTTGACCGTAAGCTGCAAATACTTTTGTCTAAGCATTTTCTTTCGCTGGCCAAAAGTCATTCAAGTTGCAGAAATTGTCAAAATCAAAGATCAATGATTTAAGCGTCTTTTGACGACAGAAAGCCGACCTTCGAAAACACTGATGACTCTGAGAGCGATGCTCTCGAAAACGGCATGTCAGCTTTTCGAAGTCTTACTATTCTACTATCGATGCCAAAATACAATGTACCGGGTTATTTTTTGAATAACTTTTGATAGGAATGAGATAGAGAGCTACGGTTGCCGTCGTTGTGCAGCCAAGACTTTAAGACAGGCTTTTGCGAGCAAAGACGTTCCTTGAGCAATAACCAGGTACATTGTATTTAGGAAAATTAAAATAACTTTGAGTGATGAGATTTTGTAAAAATAAGGTTTTGGGCTTGGGATCTCTGTCTCTTTCCTATCAAAATTTATTCAAAAACTAACCAGGTACATTGTATTTTGGTGTCGATAGTACATTCTATTCGAGTAGATCTGTGAAAAGTCCCCGAATTTTGATCTGCTCAGATAGTGTTTTTGGAACAATTTTTTCAGAAAGCTTTGGCAAAACCTGAACTTATCAATAGCTTTTGGGAGTGTGGAGAACAGTAAAGTATGCAGTATTTCTGACGTCGAACACAAAAACAAGTCATTAATAAAAACGGTGTTTCGATATCCTGAGTCTTCTAAAACCAGAAAAATCATACAACAGATAACTTTTCGTGTTGCACATAATGAGATTAATAAGATCTTGCCAAGTTTTTCTTCATTTAAAAAGTGGAGGGTGATGGGTAGAAACATCCATATTAAAAAATCGTCCATGCAAAAATTCGAAATCATATCCAGGCGCCCATTCTGTGAATCTGTAATCCTATTCTTGTCTGCCTTCTAGAAAAATTCATGTTGAAACGCTTTTCAATAGTGCAAGTGCGCGCGGTTTTTTTCATAGTAACGTGTTAAAATTCCACACATTACTAGATAGTATATAAAAATAAAAGAAATGACCGATGCTACTAAACTAGTTGTTGCTCAGATTTTTATCCAACTTTCTGACCGACTAGAATTTGACGGACGTTGACCCACCGATTTGCAGAGATGCTACGAAGTACTTCGGAACTTAGACTACTCGGTTACATTTTCTTTACATTCAACGGTGAAGGTAAACCAGTGATTATAATCGAACGGGTCATGCTTTGAAGTTTTGCTTCCTTGTCAATTTCGAAGGTTGTCTGTCACATCTTAGACAACCGTGCACCATTAACACGACACGCTTGACTTCTGTATCCATTGAAATGAGACAGTATTTTCTGTTTCTCTTCGTAAAGCAACGTGCGACAGAATTAAGGAAATAAAAGAATATTTACATGGTCACTGTTGCAGTTGAGCGTCGAAATCCACATTATCTAGTAGGTATCGAGACGGACCCACAAAGAATTCTAGAGTCCATCTTTGGTTATGCGTCTGAGCCGCTTCTCTCTCTGGAAGAAGCTTGCGAACCACTGTTGCCCATCGTTGTTCGTCTACCGGCTTACATTCGTATCGCTAAAGAGGAATCAAGTGACCCTGTCGATGGTCTAACCCAAGAAGAATCAGCCGCTATTCGCCTCTACACTATAGAATGGGACTCTGACGATGATGATCTTAATGCAAGTCTGTATTCATGTCTCAATCGGACACTTAAACATCCGGATCGGGCTAATCATAGACCATGGTTTCGCTATCTTAAATTATTTTTTACTGCCTTGGTCAAACTTCCACAACGCCTGGTCAAATTGTGTGGCGTGGGGTTCGTAAGGATCAAAGTAATGCATATCCGAAAGGCGCTGAAGCCACATGGCGGGCATTTTCATCGTGCACAACATCACTGAGTGTTCTCGAGTCGGATTTGTACTTGGGCAAGGTTGGAACGCGAACTCTCTTTTCGATTGAAACACTCAACGGACGAACCATACGAAATCATTCGCATTTTCCAATTGAATATGAGATTTTGCTATTACTGGGCACACATTTTGAGGTGTTGTCACAACTGAATCGGGCCACCGATCTCTTCATTGTTCATTTCAAGCAAAAACGACCACAGCATGAAGTACTCGAGCTCCCCTTTGAAGGTAGGCTGAATTTCTGCAAACACAAACCGACTCTTTTTTTCGGCTTCGGACGTCGAGTATGATTCATATTGTAGGAAGTGCACGCATTCGAATATTGAATATCAATTTCATTTAACTATAGTCATTTCTTGTGATTTGAAGGTGCCCAACTCTTCCCAAATGAAACTGAGTTTACTGCGAGCACGTTAGGTATGAGTGACTGAAACTCTGATTATTTGATGACCTGTTTCAACTAATAGGAAATAAACCAGCCATCACTCAAACACCGGTCGTGAGTCCCGTGTTTTATCAAAAATTCGGCTCGACTAGCTGTTGTCGCGACATGACTCCTGCTGTCGCGACGTGACTAAGCAGGGACTCACGATTTTTCTTCAGCAAGACTCCTATCGCGCCTTTTACTTACTCGCGCTTGTTTTTTTCTCCTGCTCCTTGAAGTGCTTCTTCGATTTGGAGTTTTCCTGTCTGAACAGGGCTTGTATACAGGATTTTTATTTATTTTTCAGGTTTTTTGAATGAAAAGAATTTTTTTAGGAGTTGTTTTAAGAGATTTCTCTTTTCTCAAACTCATAATTCAGTTGCTCAACTCCGGTTCGACACAAAAGGTTCTCGGTTGATCAGCTGCAAAGTTAATAGACCTGCTTGCGTCCTTTCGGTGCGAGTTTAATTTCCATAACTTGTTCAAAATTCTTGGAAGTTTTCTCAGGTGCATGAGAGGTTTGTGGGAACGTTTTTAGAAATTTGGCAAAGATATATCCCGTTTTTGACATTTTATGAGAAGTTTGGCTTTAATGTTGGGTAAGCTCTGAAGACTTCGTGCGGAGAAGAACTTCACACAAATTACTAAGAATTCTACCAATGTTAATTGAAGTTCCTTTTGTTCTTGGGAGTGTTGTGAATTTTTCGAAATATGCATCGGACTTTCGCATTTTTATAAGAAGTTTGGCTTTAATTTTTGATAAGCTTTGTGGACTTCCTGAGAAGATTCAGAATTGCATGCACATTGCTAAGAATTCTAGGAAAATTAACTGAAGTGTCCTTTGTTCATGAGAGTTTTGAAAATTTTTGCAGAGAACTGTCTGGTTTTCCTACGTTTATGAGAAGTTTGTCTCTTATTTTCTGCATACTCAAAAGAGTTCCTGAGAAGATTGTGAACTTCACACAAATTACTGAGAATTATAGGACAATTAGTTAAATTCTCTTTTGTTCCCTTATACTGCAGCAATTCCTGTATCAGAAAATACTGTTATCTGGTAGACTCTGTGACCATCATTGTAGTTAATGTACATCGATTTTAGATTTGTTCTATAATTATGCTTTCAATCAAACATGTATTTGGTTTTCGAACAAATGCTCCGAATTGTGTAAAAACCAAAAAGGGCTTTTAGAAAGCAGAAAAATCAATTTGGTATCTTGTAATACCCTTTTCAGTACTTTAAGATATCCTTCTGAGTATTCTGAAAAAATCATCCGTTTTCTACGGAACCAAAAGGTTATTTTAAGAATGAAAATGCCCTTTCGGGATCCTACAAAACCAGTTTTGGTATTTCATAAAAAAGGTATTTCGTATTGATAAAAAAACCGTTTTGGTATCCTAGAGTATCTTTTAGCAGCCGTCGGGTGACCAGTTTTGGTTTTTTACATCTTACACAAAACCAAAGTCAATTTCGTGGACAGAACGAAATCCCCTTTTGGTTTTTTAAAGTACGTTTTTTTTAGAGTGTAGGCAGTCCAAATGCGAGGTGCTTCATTTATATTTCTGTTGTTTCTTAGCGTTGTTGTGAAACAATTCGACGGCATTAATTTTTTGATACATGTGAAAGTTGCAGTCGCATCTACAATTTTTGTGTTGCTCAAAAGCAAATCGCGTATAAGAAAATGAAGCAACTACTGGTATTTTGTAACGCGATAATACTAATCAACAAATTGCAATTCTTTTCGTTTATAGACAGCTTTTAGTAAAATTTAATTCCAGTTAATTCATGTATAATATGAGAACATAAAGGTAAAAAACCAGAAAGAGCCGACTTGTTGTGCCACCTATATGCCGACAATAACTATGCAGTCCAATTAATAGCTAATCAGATAGTCTACAGTAAAATCAGCGTATTAAATGAAAGAACTAGAAATAAGTTTACAAAATGTTACATTTTTTCAGGGGATTCCAATGTTCAAATAAAAGGTTGAGTGTATGCGTAAATACGACATTTAATCAAATCCAAATAATATGTCTTCAATATTGGCCATTTGTCGGTTACTCTACATTTTGGAAACGCTGTTGTGCTTCGTTGTCTGGCTGACAAGGGCTTTTACTATAATCCAATATACTTCTATGAAAAATAGTATCTAATACGCTCTGGATATTCAGTTTGGCAACGAATCTGTAAAACACAGTGTTCTAAATAGAGAAACTGGGGGGGAGAGTTGACAGGTATTTTGTGCCGGTAGCATTTGATTACAAGAATTTTGTCATTGATTATGTTGTAGATGTGTGTAGTCGATAAAAAATAATATTGTTTTAAAATACATTGATTTAATAAAAATGATAATGATGTAATCTTGTCTCCCTTAAGCGATCAATGAAACGAAAATAAGGTAAATAAACTGAACTCGATTGCACATCATTTGACATCGCGAGAAGAAATACGATTAGCGGTACAATTCTATTATATCTATTAGATTGAGTTTATTTACTCACACCATTTAAATCAACACATTGTTCAACTTTCGCTTATTATGGAAAAAAAGAGAAAAGGAAAAAGTGAAACGTTTGGTTAATGATGCGATGAATATTCTTGTTAATGAGCATTTAAATACCTACCTATTCATAGTGATTGAACAACAACAACTTGCCCTTTGACTATTCAACTAAATAGGCAACATATGAAATTAAACAAAAGAAAGAAATAGTTGTTTTATTCGTTATGATACAGTCTGTAACATTTATTAAAAAGTACTCCACATTGTGTTTATAATGACTGTTCAAATATTTTACTTGACTCGGGTGCCAAACTAACAAGTTAACCAAAAAATAGTACCAGTATGTAACACTGGATGACGAATAGATTGTTGAACATGGCCCTGTTCGTAAAATGTAATAATTTAATATAAAAGCGCTATTACAACAGGATTGATATGAGTTTTTCCCAAAAGAGCAAAGTTTCAATAATTTCTAAGCAACAAGAGAGCATTATTTGTAATAGACAAAGATAATTGATAAAATTAGATAAGAAAGAGTATCAAAGTCAGGAAATGATATCTTTTTCAGAGAAATATCACTGTTAATATCAATGGATAATATCTCCTATACAATCGTCTTCAATTAGTTGTTTATATGATTGAATTTTCAAACTAACATATATAGTCTTCAGTTCTTTTAATCATATTTTACTAAGGTTGACTAAAAACATTAATTCAATAATATTGAATAATCTTTGATTTCAGTTTTATGAGATAACCTTACACTTTATAAAAAAGGAGTTCTTCATTTGTCACATGTATGGTACAGGTTTCGAGATCTATGAAGAGCTCAAAACAAGACATTGAGCTTTTAAAACAACTCACATACAGTTTTTCAATTTTTTAACAGAACTTATATGAAGTTTTTGCAAAGTGAAACAATACATGAAAAACTGAAAAATAGTTTTCGATATTTTATAAATGAAGAACTCATTTTCCTTTTTTTTGCGAATTATCTAAAAATTTGAAGAACACGTTTTTCTCACTGTGTAGGTGGTTACTGTTGAAAAACAATTTTCTCTCATTTCAATTTTTTGACAGTTAGATTGATAAGATATAGATATAGATAAAATACAATGAAGATGCTAAAAGATTACTCAAATAAGAGAAGCAACTAATTTATTGTTAGTCTATTTTTAAACTAATAATAATCTATACTTTTAACTCTTCATCAAAGTCATCTCTGTTCCTAAGTGTGAATATTTTTCAAATACACAGACAAAACATTAGAAACAAAGCATCATTGCTCAGAAATCTCGAGAGAAACAAAAATTTTGAAATCAATGAGAAATATGGAATTGTATCTGAAAAATTAATAATAATTTTCTATACAATATGAGAAAATTATGAACGCCTAGATATTATTAATTTAGTTATTCGTAGATTAATAGTATGAAAAGGGTATAGAAACATTTAGTTGAAGCAGAAAGCGGATAAACAAAGAGAATTTCTGCTGATATGAAAGAGAGTTATATTATTGTTCGTACACAGAGTGCAAACTATTTTATTATTCTTCCATGGATGGACGGACTACAAACAACTGCATACAACAAAAAGAAATAACCAATAAAGATATTGATGATCTCGTACGCAAATAAGATTGGCTGATAAGAACGAGAAGAAAAAAATGATATTCTTTTTTCTTTTTTCAAAAGACGGCGTCAATGACAAAAAGATTTCTCATGAGTAACATAAAATATATATGTATCGTCTAATACATCATAATCGATGTTGATTGCATGGTGCATGATACGACATGAATATATATATATATAGCAAAAAAATGAATAAAAATATAATTTATGTTAGTTTAAATATGATACATACATTCACCATGAAAAAAAGAAAAAGAAACATAAATACAATGAGACCGAGTTATAGTAAGACTAGTAATAACATACAAGCATGAAAAAATATCAGCGATTTTATCCTATTCCACTCTCACAAAAAAAGAAAAAAAAATCAACGATTGTATATATATATATACGTACACACCTATCGAAAGAGAAAAATATTTTTGCTATTTTTTTCTCCTTCAATCGTCAAATCGGATGAATGAGTCATCTTTGAAATAGAAAGAGGAAGAGAGAGACAACGAGCGAATCATAATGATTTGTATAGAGGAGAAAACAAGAAAAAGTGTTCTCTCGCTCTCTATTTTATGTCCATTAAAAGACCTAATGGCTCATTTTTCTAACGTTGTGTGACATCTTCTATATACGAAGAGGGAAGAGGAAAAAATATACATCTCGCACTAGATTAACGACTCATAATCTTTGACTATAATCATTAATAACAGAGATCATTTACTAGAGACCGTTATACAAGAAGGTTAATTTCTATATGATCGAAAAAAAACCGATAATTATCGTTTTTTTGTCCTATTATTGTGCACACAAGTGGTATGTGTTAATGTGTTCTCGTTCGTCGTTCTTAGGCTATAAATAAATAATTGATGTATGCTGCCATGAGCTCTTCTTATGGTTTAATGAACACAAATACTATTATCAATCCGTCGACCAGTCATAATCATCATAATCATCATCATCATCATAGCAATTATTCAACAACAACACCAACGTCATTATTAGATGTAGGAGTAAGTAATAACGATTATGGATGCAATAATGGTGTAACAACTACTGCTGCCGTTGCTCTATTACCCTCCTATCAACATTTATCCCAGAATGGTGCACACATTGGTCAAATATCAACATCAACACCAAATGGAAATGGAACTTCTTCACTATTACAACAGCAACAACACGATTATTATACATCATCCTATCGTTCACAACCATCAGATTATAATTTTCATGATAATTTGTATCGTACAACACATTATACACCTACATCACCCAGGTAGATATAAACACAAGGCTGTTCTACCTTCGTTTACTTTTTATAGCACAATAATGGTATACAGAGAAGTATAAGTAACACGAACTGAAATAATGTCATTAAATTCTTTCGAACAAATTGAGTTGTCAATTGTACCAGAATAACAGTTAATTTAAATAACAGTTAATTTAAATAACAGTTAATTTATTATTCTAACAGAGTGGTTAGTCCAGATTTACGAGTAACATTTTACGGTTATATATTTTCAGTACACATTAGAACAGGGGTTAGTGTCGTTACGAGCCTATTTTATATCTTTTTTAAATTTTGTTGTAAATCTCTGAAGTTTGACCAGATGAAATCTTTTTGAGTTTTAGAGTATATGTTTCTCTACAAAATAAGGTGTGGGTAAATTGTGTACTCATCGAGTAACAAACTTCTAATCGAGTCCAATCTGGATGCAAGATACTATTAGACCAAATGAAGAAAGCGAACAAAAGAACAATCATAACTATGACCTCCGATTTTATAGTAAAAGGTTTTCTCTGTATTTCTGCCTATTCAAACGTTGTCTCTCCTCTCTTTCGAATTGTGCACTTTCTCTGAAGATCGAGTCATGGTTTAAACAAAGTACATATTAACTTGACAATAACTGTTCGTTGATTTTTTAGTCCATCTTGTGTTTATGCCTGTCATGGATCGTTGAATGGATCTCTTTATCCTAATCAAATCCCCCTATCAAACACCGGTGTTCAACAACAACAACAACTTTCATCCACCGATGTTACATCTTCGTCTCAACTTTTGGGACCAATGGATCGTTATGGTTTATCATCAGTTAGTCCCATAAGTACATCATGTCAACAACAACAGCCGTCAAGTAACGCAAATAGTCCTGATTTACAACAAGAGCATCTTTATGCAAATAATCTCAACTCTCATCACCTTCAACAACAACAACAACAACAACCAACGCAACAACAGACAGAAAAGAGTAATCAATCAGCACCAGTCATTTACCCATGGATGAGAAAAGCTCATATCAATAATCCTGGTAGGAACCATTCTACTTTTTCTAACATGTGCATGATATTTTTAAAAGGTAGTTATCGTATAGTGAAGAAGAGTTCATCACAGTAAGTACATGATAAGTTCCAATAATGTAATTATTTTTGCGACTTGTTATGTAGATGTAACACCTTTTCTTTGCATCTAGATCTAGATTATATATTAGTTACTGGGAGAGTATTGACCGTATATTGTGCATTGAATTTAATGCAAACTTATCTGCAGTGATTAATTTTCTTCTCCATCCCAGATTTATCGGTAGTTTTACACAAATTTCTCTATTTCGCAGTTCAATGATTCGTTCATACTTTAATTTAACATCCGATTTATATGTTGAGAAATTAAGGACTAGGGTACTGCTAGCACGGTTGATTTTCTCTTCATTTGTCAGATACAAGCTTAGAAAGGCAAAAAAAAAGATCCGTCCGATATTTAGATTAACATACATCGTATACAGACATATTCATCACGGTGTATAGAGAAAACAAAGGTAAGACAAAACATGTATGTGTGTCTGCGGCTTGAGAAAAAGAAAAAAGGATGTTGTTTCATTGTATGAAAAAAAGAACAAAACAAGAAAAAAGACAGTTTTGTTTTGATTTGAAGTTTGAACGTTCCGAACAACATTTATCTTCAACAAAATCAGTTTTGAATTCTGATTTTTTTTATTTCGTAGAATGAAACAGATGCGCCCATGTGTACCTGTATGAGTATGAGAGAGAGAGAGAGAGAGAGAGCAAAGACCAGATTTAAAAAGAAGAAAAGAAGAATAATCATTTGATGATGACAAGTAACAACATGTAGTTTTAAACTCTAATTGATTGATTTGTTTATTTATATATGCACGTGTATAGTAGAAAAAGAGAGAGAAAGACAAAATGAGATACATGAATAATTCACTTAAAATTATTCTCTCATGCTGGCATTATTTAATAAAACTATCATGCGATTTAATAATAATAATATTTAGAACAATTTAAGGGATAATCACATACAAGCGTGTTTTTTAAGGTTAAGATAGATAAAGATGAGACTACAGTTCAACAAGTTTGTCATTCTGTATCGATTTTTAAAGTAACCAAATACGAGTACTCGGTATTTTGCTTTTTACTCTCGATAGCAAGCCGATGTCCATGCGAAGATGACTGCTATCAATTTAGAACAAATCTCATCTTTGATGTTCATTTAATTTCTCAGATGATAATACAGTTCTCTCCATTGACGTCATAATTCGCCTCTGCTTTTAGTTATAGATACAATTTTTACTGTCACATTTGTATTTCTTGGTAATAGTTCGTCTTAGAAGCAAGCAGCATGTGATAGTGAAGACTGGAAGCAGGTTAATCTAAAAATAGCTATTAAAGCATTAATTGTGCCAATAGTATTTAAGAAGAACAATCAAAAGGAATTATACGAGAATATTCTCTTTTCGACTTCATTTTATCACTTTGTCTTTCTTGTGTTTAATGTAGTCACGATTCTCATTCATTTAAAAACATTGATTATTAATCTTACTTGGATTACCGTTTTGAATTTGTGATAATTAAATTAATCAGTGGTATCGATAAGTATGTAATTTTTTCAAATTAGTCATAAACACTTAAAAATAATGTCTGTTGATGAAGAGGCGAGTAGGGACAGGCGAGTCCGAGTCCTTAAAAATTCAGTCTGAGTTCCGAGTTCATTTCGAGTCCGATAATCTTTTAGATTCTTTTTTGATGATTGTGGTTTATTTCTCTTTTTCTTTTGTACCATTTAACCATTTAATATGTCAACCTTGTTGAAACGGTTGAAACTTCTATTACATTTTAACAATATCAGCTGAGATAGATTGTTTTTTTGTAAAACCTGCTCTTTCGCGTCTAATCAAGAAATCTGATTGAGAAAAATACACTGAGTAGGCGTCGATATAGCCGGAACGCACAGAAGCAGCTTTTCAGCTAAGTTACTGAGACTTGGATAGATCGGACTCGAAATATCAAAACTCAAGTTCGAGTCCGAGTCCACTGAAAAATCTTCCAGTCTGGACTCAGACTCGCCCAAGCCTGGAGACTAGTGCCCAGTCTTATGTCTTTTTCGTGCATTCAGATCATTTTTCTAGATCTTCTGGCTCTCGTTTGTACAGGTTTTAATAAAAATGAATTGAGCCAGTATTTGCGTCTATTAAAATATCATTAGATTTCTTTACCGGATCACTTTCTCTATATTAACTAAAAATTTACTTTCTAATATGGATATTAATTTTGTCTTGTTACCAAATCATTTGTTCTTATTTATAACAAACAAAAACTAAAATGAAAAATTCATTTTTAACGATTAGCAAATATCATCATCACTGAGAGAATAAATGTCATTTTATCGAAAAACAAACTTAAAGTGTCGAATTACACAAAATTTAACCTTTAACGAACAGATATGAAGAGAGAAAAAAAAAGAAGAAAAAGTGATCAACTCAGCAGGATGATGATGCCATCTGAGATTAAAAAAGAAAAACAGAATAGAGAAAAGCAAAAAGGAAAATTAATGATGATTTAAATTGATACGGTGTGTGTATGCCACACTTTCTGATAGATAATATTAATGATATTTGATAAATAAAACATACAGTCGATTTATTCGTCTATTTTTGATTGGAAAAAGTCATGGATCGTACACAATACGAATTAAATTATCTGAACGATAACATGTACCGATATCTGCGTTTTTTAGCACTATTTTTGACGAGACGAAGAGACTTATAGATTTAATTTAACTTGAACATAAAAACTCAATAATTAATAATTTTTCCTAGAATGCATCCGTCAATCGATATCAATACTCTTCTCATCCTATACATTTTTCTTTTCCGAAAACAAAACGTTGTATAGTTAGTGGCGGCGCTAGGGCAGGGCTAGGGTGGACTGAGCCCAACCACCCAAAAATTTGAAAACAGAGTACTCACTAGCAATAGTCACGTAAAAATTCTGAACGGATTTTTGAAAAATTATGGGCTGAGCCCGGGCACCATGAAAAATCTTGGCGCCGTCACTATTTATAGTCTCTGATTATGCAGACAAGAGTCGTCCATGTTCCTTAATAATCAGTTCACTAAAGATTTTTTTTTGTACAAGACCAATTTCCTTTCTATTACTGAGTATAAAAAAAGTATAACTAATTCAATTATTTAAACTCATTTATAATCTGACCTTCATTTGTCATTTTAATGAAATAAGTAAAATTAATTTTTTTACACCGTACATTTGTTCGTTCTTATCAGTCATTTTCTTTTATTTAACAAGTCGAGAAAAAAGGCTACTTTAACCAACCACATATGTTGTGAATATACACGTATCTCTCATTCGTACAATGTAGATTTGTGTATATTTTGAGCAAGAGAAAGAGAGAGAGAGAAGAAGAGAAAATGACAAACAAAATGTTATACACATAAATCTTTCAGTATGTTCGACATTAATTGTCTGCATGTATCCATAACACAATATATAGTCAACGATAAGCAAAAATACAATGTGGTGTGACGCATTAATCATCGAAAAGAAAATATATGCTGATGTAATTTTTTTTTCATTATTTAAACAAAACCAATGATATGAACTCTGTGAGATTGAATTATGCAAATCTCTTTCAATTGAATAATGATTTGTTAATATATCAAAAGTTAATTTTTTTAGAATCATCAGAGATACATCCATAGTTGATATTCAAAACCCTTTTTTTAAAATCATCCAGTGACCAAAAAAATCGCCTGATTCGATCGTTTGTTGTTAGAAGAAAATAGAAAAAGATAATTTTGTTCCAGAAACAAGACAGTACTTTCATACATTTTTTTATAATCATCTTTAATAAAAAAAAAAAAAGAAAAGAAAAAGCATACAAGAATCAAAGGTAGACAGACACGTACACTATGGTTTTGTTCTATTTAGAAAGTCAGAAAATGCGATCGATAATCCGTGTACTTACTAACAAGATCAGTCTGTTTTTTTTCTTTCTTCTTGAATAGTAGATGACATATGAATTTGAGAAATAGAGAATATTTGTAATTTTTTTTAAAAAAATCAAATAAATTATTATCAAACTCGATGGACGGATATCATTGTTTATTTGAAGATCGTTTTTATTCTCTTTCTTTTAGAATTTGATAATTCATTTTTACCATCATCCTACAATGTGAATTATATGAATTTTTCTCATCGTTATACAAAAAAAAAAGAAAAGAAAAAAGACATTAGCATAATGTTTTTACTTTAATAAAGTTGTGCATTGTTTTTTCTTTACATATTTTGACAATTGTTCTTAACCATATTTAAAATCACATTAGTTCGAGCTGTGACATATAAATTACAAAATAGATTAGTTTTTCTTTTTCTTCTTCTGTAGTACACATTACCTTGAAAATTCAAGATTTATTTGGTGATTATAGCCAGAGATTATTTCAAACTGTTTTTTTTTTTTTCTTTTTGTCAAATTATAACAAAAGTATTTAACACAAAACTATTATTTAGAATATGAGAGAAATTTGACTAGAGAGGTAAAATTTGCTACAACTGAATGTATAAGAATGATAGCATAACTTATAGAGATTTTGATCTACACTTGTTAGTTATGTTCGAAAATGATATCCTTTTACTCTTGAATAGTATTTATTCAATGATAAAACTACAATTAATCTCTTCTACAAATTAATAATATTTATTTATTCTATTTTAGTCACTAATTTTACGAATGGTGAAACAAAACGTGCAAGAACTGCTTATACTCGACATCAAGTGCTCGAACTAGAAAAAGAATTCCATTTTAGTAAATATTTGACACGTCGTCGACGAATTGAAATAGCACATTCACTCTGTTTAACTGAACGTCAAATTAAAATTTGGTTTCAAAATCGACGTATGAAATGGAAAAAAGATCATAAATTACCCAATACAAAATCGAAATTACCCGATACTCTACCAAATACCACAATGTCAACGCCAACATCATCGACATCACCATCATCTCAAACAAATAATAGAGTATTGAATAGTCCTAATAATATAATTAAACAAGAGCATAATACAATTAAAGAAGAATCATTTTCACCAACATCAAATTAAAAAGTATTTTAGTCTTTATTTTTTATTTTTAATATTATATCTATGCTCAAAAATAGAGGTATGGAACCTGTTAAAATAATTTTTCCATCAGACTTTGAATACGCATGTTTTGGATCAATAGTATAGTTAAGAGTCAATAAGATTCTTTGCATGAGTTTCAAAACAGAATTTCAATTGATTTTCTGTTCATATAATCGAAGTTTTTAGGAGATTTTCTAACAAAAAAATTCAAAAGAAATGAAATTGTTAAAAATGTACGTTGAAAGAAATATTATTTCTTTGTATATTCAAAACATAAAAGTTAGAAAACTCTAAAAATCTTCTATCATTGTAATTCAAATATTTCAAAAAAAAAAATCAATTAACATTTATTTGGAATGTCCGATTATTTGAAAGATTATGGAATAATTTCTAGTAATTTTTATCTTTGGAATTTTGCTATTGATAACATCCTGTTGTAACTTGACTCATTTAGAAATTTTTTATTTTGCCTTACTGTTTGTATCTTCAAACTATTGTACATAGATAATTCCATTGAAATTCTATCAGAATTGCATGCCAAACAACGTGAAAATTTTTAGTACAATGAGATCATCAATAAATAAGACTATTTGATCAAAATTAATTTAAAGAAACATCAATTTTATAAGTATATCTAAATTATCGTTAGATTTTGTTATTAATGAAAAACAATAACTTCTTCCTGATCAAGAAACATCATCCTAAAATATAGTAAATAACTAATAGAAACTATAATAGAGTTACTTTGTTTTTTATCATTACATATAGGGCATTTATAAGCGCATGTATTTTGAAAAAATTTAACATTTAAAAGGATAGTACCGGCTGTCCATAAAGTATGAGTCACTTTATATTTTTTTCATATTCTGTCAGGGTTTATCCGAAACAATTTCTTTTCTACTAAAAGAATGGGCATAAAATTGTCGACAAAAATATATTGACTACTGCTGTGAGAGTGAGACGTTACACAAAAATACGGCGGAGAAGCTCTCAAATAGTTCGAATTCAATAAACCAGAATTTTTAGTTTTAGATGAAGATGCAAGGATTAGCTGCATCTAATTTTTTGCACAAAGAGTAACTTTATTGAAATCTTCTAAGCAAGCAGCGTAATTTTGTTCTTTTCACTAAGTATATTAGAAGAAAAAAGTTTTAGAACTTGTTCCATTCAGATACAATGGACATGTTCGTTCTCTTTAAAATAAAAGTAATCGGAACCAAAAAATTGAACAAGTTATGAGGAATATACAGCAGAATGTGAAATTTCTCTCTAAAAGTTATGATTTCTTGGTAAAACGAAAAGAGAAAACAATTTCTTATACAACCAGTTGTGTTGTAAGAAAAGTCAAGTTGTAAGTAAAAGATAGAACTTTTGAAAGGCTACCAACTATTATATTTAAAGTTTTCTATATATCAACAAGCAAACGAATTAAACCGAAAAAATTCGTTTTTAGATTAGAAAGTTGACCATTTGAGAGCCCGTTCTCTTAGTAGAAAAGAAACTGTTACGGATAAATCCTGCTAGAGGTATAAGCAAAATATAAAGTGACTCATACTTTATGGGACATCCATTATACCGTAGTCACTTCTAATATGTACGTTGAAATCTTGAATGCATTTATAACATCTTATAGAAATTCCAATATGGATAATATAGTTCAAATAAATTCATCTGTCTTTAGAGACTGTTTCCTTTAATGTATTTTCCGAATAATTTGAGATTGTGATCTATTTCTTTTTGTTATTCTTTTGATAATTGTTTTTTGTTTGGTAGATAGAGCACGTACAATTTTAATTACATCATGCTGAGTTCGTTTCATTTATATGTTTTTGACACACAAAAGCAAAACATATTCTTATCTTCTGGGGTGAATTGAACTTGACTTTATAAGATGTTATTCATTTACACTTTACACTATCACACACACATATTAATCGAATTATCCAATAAATTGATCGTAATGGTGAATATAAAAAAATAAGTATAAAAAGCAATTAAAAGAATAATTGGATAAAATGAGCAAGTGAGACGATTTTCACTAGAATTTTTAGTTGTTATGGTAGAAAAAACAATTTTTAATTTTACATCGACCAATGTAAAGATTACCGAGTAAATCACTTTCTCATCACACAAATTACATAGTAATTCTCAATTTTTTGACTTGATAACAAATTCCCCTTGGTTTAGATATGCATTTGGCAAATTATCGTTAATTCGTTACGTTCAAATACTCTTTTGTGCTTACAGAAAATTCTAAAGTTTTATTTTAATTTTAATCTGAATAAAGCCATATTGTGCCAATATTCGGTTGTTCAAAATTAAGAAATGAGAGAAAAACTCAACCACCACTACCACAATTGTTACTTGTCTATCTATCGGAAGTCTATTACAAAGAGAAAACAATTCATTCAGATGTTATCTGTTTCATTTTCTTCTCTTTACCAATACATATATAAATCGGTTTTCTTCTCTTCTAACTGTTCAACCAATGAATAATTTTTTTTTCGTTCGTCTTTGATGTATGCTTGTTTTGGAAAGCAAAAAAATATCATTAATAATACGAAGAAAAAAAGTACAAATCCCGTTCATACTGCGCCCGACAATACACAGTTCAATAGTTCTATGGTCATTTATTTTATGTTAATGACTTTTTTTCGACAGTTCCCTGTATCATTTATCTAAATAGGAAAATGAAAATGTCTATGATTTTAATCATAACTCGAACAAACGTGTAGTCCTATATACACAAATAATAGAAAGAACAATAGTTTTTTGTATGTATGTATAGTGGACATATGTGAAAAGAAAGTAATAACATACAACACAACACTTTTTTTGGATATTTTTTGTTTTTTCTCTATAGATTACAGTATTTTAATATATGAAGGTGAAATACTATAATTTTCGAACAAGGCTGGAATACTAGAATCTGTTAAGTGTATTTGAAACACATAAACTTGTAGAAATTCTCAGTTTTCACTTGAAAATAGAGTTACTGGTTGGTTTTTCTCCTTTTTAATTTCATTTTCATACTTATACTCCATCATTTGTAATATGTATATAAATCACTATAATTTGTATAAAATTGATTCATGATCAACAAACATTTAGTCTAGTCTATTTCAGAATTAACAACTATCGTCTGGTTTTATTTTTCTCAAGAAGTGCATCAAAGATATATTAATAGAATAATCATTATCTTGAAAATCAGTAATTTTAAATAATCGTTTAGTGAAGATTCTCGCAGTTAATGATGGATCAATTCAGCTTTGTCTTCTATCATCTACAATATACCAAGTGACACATAATTTTAAGTCTATTGATCAATTTTGCCGATGTATGTACTTTCGCAGAGTTTATCGTCTCATAAACAGTGAGTAGTCAGTCACAACTAAGTGTCCGACTATACGCTAGATTAGCAATAAGGTGACGACTGTGTACGATGTAGAGCAAATTCTAATCTAAAATCTTATTTTGCTTTCTGTGAGAATGGTTGAATAAGTACAACTGTTACATAAATCACCAAGATTAATTATAAGTTAATTATTAGTTGAACAATTGGCTGGCTACTTACTTCTTGAAATAACTGGACTTCGAGTGCTGACGAAGATAATTCTTATTTTCATAATATTACCAGAGTGCAAGACTCCTTCTACATTAAAAAACCTCTAGCATAAATTCGTACTTTAATATAAAGTTTTGTTTTACACAATGAAACCGTCAAAAAGAAACGTTCTTTTTTAGAAACCATTCTCGTTCATAATTTTTACTTTTAAAAATGAGCGTTATGTTTACATATATTCAGTCAAATCTTAGAACATAAATCATATTGTTCAAAATATTTTCACATGCTTAGAAATGGATTGATAGGATCAAGAAAAAAAATATCGTATGTCTCAGAAAAAGCATAAATTTTTTTTCTCTTATGTTCAATGAATAAAATGCTGTTTTTTCTGTCTCATAAATGTTATTAATAATTGTCCACAATAATGTTAAATCTTTGATTTTTCAAATGACAATAAAATTCTTGAATTACTCACAAAGATTTTCACCATTATCTTGTTAATTTGGTTTTTGTTCTCTATATTTTGTTGTCAAGAAAACGACGTATCACAAAATGTATAGCAGCAGCACTTATTATTTGTCATTAATAATATTATGTCACGCACACACACGTATACACGAACAGACATACATAGAGAGAAAAAAGAAACTTGATATACATCTTTCATTCGACAAGTAAACAAAGAAAAAAAAACATTTGAAAAATAAAAAAATAATATAGGATATTTATTTTATTTATGTCATTTTGCACTGCAGTAGAAATAAGAAAAAGGTAATAATGAACACACGAAAAAAAAAAGAGAAGAACTCCAAAACAATAGAAAACTATATAATAGTCTCTATTCAGCAGAAATGTAATAATTTCATTGGAAATCTACCAGTTTATACAATATCCTGTGCGAACAACGTGAAAAATTTAGTGTTGTAAGATGATCAACATATAAAACTCTTTGATCGAGATAATTTTCAAGAAAAATAGTTCATCAGATTTTACCTGTTTCTAATAGAGATTTTTTTCTCGTGAGTCATAACATTAAAAAGTTGTCTTCACCTTATTGACTAACCGAACAAATATAAATAGCTCTCTGTTTTGTACGTAAACTTAAGCAGTATGGGAGAAAACGGAATCGAATCAAAATAAATTGAATTTTTACAAAAAGAAAAAGTCAGTTTAAGCTTTTCCCATTCTCACAAATCAAATTTCTATGGCTGTAAACTGGTACAATTAAATTCGATACTAAATTCATCATTAAAAAATAGTTTCCTACATAAATGAGAAAAGTTTAGAATTGCTTATGATAACGATGTTTCTTTAAATTAATTTTGATCAAATAGTCTTATTTATTGATGATCTCATTGTACTAAAAATTTTCACGTTGTTTGGCATGCAATTCTGATAGAATTTCAATGGAATT